TCTAAAGAGATTTCAGTCCTTAGGATGAAATTAAAAGGTTTCTTCAGGATAACTGACCGAGAGCAATAATTAAAGCCAGAGAAATTATCAAGGCGTCTCAGGGGACATGAGGATTGTCTGGTTTTGTGAGCTGATGACATGATTGCTTTCTTGGACTGGGAAGGTAACTTCCCTATTGGACTCCAACTGTTATTTCCCATCTGGAAAGTGGTATCGTGCTCTTTCTCACTGCTCATCGTGAGTCACAGAAGAGGCTATAAACACTGCAACCCAGGCGAGAATGTCCTGCGCTTTTTTGTATTTTTAAAAATTTCTAAAAGCAAACAACAAAAACCCTCCATAACTGATGTAAATTGTACGAAACCATAAAGAAACTAAGACATTAAGGATTTCAATACCAAAAAATTTCAAATGCTTTTTGCATTTTGCACACACAAAAAATCTAAATCTAAAGAGTTGATCCTTTTACAAATCTCATTTCAAACTTTCTTATTTCCTTCTCTTTTAGAAACCAACTTCACTAAGCTGCATATGTGCATGCCGAGAACCGGGGGGAGCCTGCAGGGTCCGTGGCTCAGTCCTCCTCCGTTCTGAGGAAGAAAGGGAGGCTGTTAGTGGGAAACAATCATCCAAAGTGTGAGAAATCCTGCTGAAGGGGTTTGCACACCTTGGTTTGCACACCTGGGGGAGCATTTGGGCTCATCTGAAGCCTGCTCCTCTGCAGATCCTATTTCACAAAGCCAATTCCTGTGTTTACACGAAGTTACTGAAATGATGTCTGCAGGGCCCACGGAGAGGTATTTATTATGACATGTCAAGTCACTGCCAAACAGACATCATTTTTCATCCTGAAAGCAAGGGTGGCATTTGCCAAAATGCCAAAGAATATGCTTGCAGGGTCAGGCAGTGTACACACATGCCAACAGAGAGCCCGTGGGGACTCGGCAATGCACCCACCAGCCTTTCAGCTGAGACGTCAGCCTTCCAAGCAGAATCCCCGACTGTCTTGTGTTTTCCTTATGTCACTAGAGTTCTGCCTGTTCTGGGCCCTCAGCACCCCAGGCCCTTGACCCTATTCAAGCTCCTGCTCCAAATACATACACAAGAGCGAGCCATTGACAAGTAAAGACCAGAGGGAGACAGAGGTCAGGGGCCACTTCATCCAGCATGTCAGCGCTGAGTCCAAGACAGTCTGACCCTGGATAGGGACGTGAGAAACACGAGCCCTCCTTCTGAGCTATCTGGGGAGAGGTGCCCCCAGCCTGGTAGGAGAACAGATGAGAAGCTTTTCAAAGGTAAAGGTTGTTTGCAACTTTTAAGAAATATTTTCTTTTGGTTTCCATTTATTGCTGTATCAAAGGTATTAAAATCTCTGGCTAAAAATAAAAAAATATATAAATATAGTCAAATCATCCAGATACTGACATTAAAAATGGAAAATGTGGATAAAATAATGAAACAGTCGAAGGATGTTTAAATGTTTATTTTCATATTAAAAACGATGAGTTACCCTGTGGTTAGAATACACCTTTAAGCTGGAAAAGGAAGTCACTTTATTTCTGAAATAGTTCCAGAAAAAAAGAAAAAGGAAAAATATCCCAAAGTAATGAAGAGTAAGATCAAAATGTTCTGGCAGATTCCATCAACGATCCCAACATGAGTCACGCCTTTTCCAGGCCGCATTCTTAATTCAGTCATTTCATGACATGAGGTCCCAATGCTTTCCCACCATCAGATTAGGTATTTTTGAGCGGGATTCTGTACATTTAAAAGCTACAGTTTGCATGCTTATATTTTAAAATGTATTTATTCCAATACAGCTCTCAGTGGTTCAGTATATTGCCTATATTACATACAAAAATATCTGCTATCCATATTTTAACATGTTTTCCACCACCCATACTGTCCCTTTACATAACAGGTGATAAGACTTACATTACACATGTATAATCTTAATGGAGGAGATGGTTTCTAGTTTATAAACCATCTATCGTGTCATTTACAAAGACCAGAATGGAGTATTGAGGCCATTTTTGAGATGATCAGAGTAGAAAACAGTGTCAATGAAAATGTAGGATTCAGATAAAACCACCCTTGGTGGTCGCTGAAGATGGACTGAATAGTTCTCTGACAGACAGAACCTTTACTGTGGTCCCAACATCCCAACGTGGGGAAGACGCCTCGCTAAAGAGACAGAATGCTGATCAAAATGCACAAAGACAAACTTTCTAAAACTTAAAAATTAGCAAAGTACAAAATACTTAGTCTACAGAGGTGGTGATGGGACATCCACTTTTTCCCTGCATTAATGTTTATAAATAGTGACCCTCTGCCTGGATTTTAAGGACTATTCGAGTTGGGAACCTACTCTGGCCAGTGTGCCCTACAAAACAGCGAGGAAGTCAGTATTCCTCTCCTGGTGCACACGGGGGATTCTGAGGTTTGCTAGGGGTGTGCTTCCGGGGAAACTTCCAGTGCCCCTTCTGGCTTTCTCTCAAATGCAACACGTGTGTTTAAACTCCAGTTCTCCCGAGTGGCAGCTGCTCCTTGATCCCTGTGCACAGGTCTGGAAAGCAGCACATCTGGCTCATATCCTCTCTGTTCTAGGTGGCCTGGTCCTGGAGCAGCGCCTGAACCGCCCTCCACGTGAGCTGCCAAGGTGGCGACCTGGCGGCCCCTCGAGAGGCCTGCTGGTGTCTGCCCCGGGGGAGCCTGAGCACTCCACTCTTACGGGAGTGGGAGGGACTTGATCAGTGTTGATCAACACCGATCACATGGATCCCTCAGCCATAAACACCTGGAAAATCCAGGCAAATGCACGGCCCCCAGGGAATTGTATTTCAAGGCTTAATAATTTATGTCTTTCCCCCTATTTTAGTTTAAATATTTTGGGGTAGAGTTCCTATTCATTTTAAATTGACTAGTTGGAAAATGAGCAGACATAACCCATGGTTTCTAGTCAGCAGGAAATAATTTAGAACAGAAAGAACTTCAGTGAAATTCTGTTGAGCTGAATAGGGCCCGCACCAAATCTGGGAACGATGGACGGTGCTGATTCCCACTGACTACTGTATCCTCTGGCTCTTCTCTACTCACACACACACACACACGTATACATATAAATGCATGTGTACGTGAGTGTGTGTGGTATGGTAAGTGGGACCCCTCCTCCACGACCTTCCATTGGAGTATTTTGACCTGAGCTTCAGCAGAACTAACAAAGGTGACTGGACGAGCCTGCACCACTCTGGGTGACCCCAGTGGATCCACAGGAGGCATCTTCAGGACAGTGGTCGGTGTCCAGCTCTGCTGAGAAGCCACTGGCATGTTCTAAGGCCCCACAGTTTGCCCTCTGTGCCACGTCAAGCAGCAGATCATAGGAAATGCTCTAATTTGTATGCTCCTTAATAACAGTCCCCATGACAATGGTAACTTCCTTTGTCCCCTCCCGAATTACACCCTCACCCAAAGTCTCAATCTGCCAGTGGAGGCAGCCTGCTGTGTGTGTGTGAGAGAGATTCACCCCCTATATCACTTGAGCTTCCTCAGTTTCAGAAATGATATTCCCATTATTTCTGGAATGTTGAAGATCCAAGGGAGAGGAAATTGAAAGTATCTTACAGGAGGAGCAGGACTCATTGGATAGCTATGTTTTAATCAGCGTGTGCATCTCTCTTTGGCCCTACACAGTCAGTTTTGAGCTCCCTCCCCACCAAACCCTTTGAAAAGCACTGGCTGTTTCCTCTGCCTAACTGAGGAGCTCTTCCTACAAGGTGTCAGCCAGCTCTTTGCAAACTCCTTTTGAAGCCAAAGCCTGGGTCTTCTGGCTTCATCTGCCAATCAAATTGAAAGATTTTTGGAACTTCAGTGACTAACCTCCGTTTTAAACAAGATCAGCTGAACCAGCCCCTGGAGGTCAGGCCCACATCTCTGGTAACGTACACACTGTTTACAAACGCACAGCAGTCCTGTGGGCAAGAGACACAGGCAGAACTCCTGGCTGCCATGTCACGGCTAGAGGAGGCTGGGTTGTCACGTTCCAGGCACAGAAATCTATGCGAGAACAATGAACGCCTCTCAGCTCAGTCGACAGCCATTCGGAGTCAAGGAAGTGCTTCAGACACCTTCTGCAGGCCTTTGCTACCTTGCTGCTCTCTACGAAACAGATGCAAACAGCTCAAGAAAGCTCATAATGAGGCATCCTAGTCCAGTTTCCGTCTTTCCGGCTATCTCAATAAAAATGTTGTCATAATTTCCTAAACTGAAATGTTTGCTTTGCTTGAAACCACTCATGCTGTTCTTCGAAAACCATTTTTTATTTAAAAATTATGCAGGAATCATGTGCTTTTTTCTCTTGCCACTTTGATTTTCCAATAGCTATGGTTTTTCATCATAACTGCTTCTTAAGCTCTGGAACTTAGTCATTTATTTCTATGAATTTGGGGGGGACCCCACCGTTGTCCCCATCAGTGCACACCCTGCGTAGGTCTTCTCTCTGCCAGAGTCATGACTGAAGTTATTTGGGAGGGAGTCATTGTATGGATGAATTTCTACATACTGCCAAGTTGAAACATCATTCTACTTACTTTTTAAAAATTTTTTTTCTGTTAAAATGGAAAGTTTAATCTGAAGGTATGTCCTATGCAATTTGCTTTTTGTATATATCAGTTCTAAATTTTGGTTTCAGTTTGGATAACAAATTTTGTTGACCACAAAGCACTTGTATAAATACAGCCATTTTGAGGTCTTTTTGCCCTCAGAAATGCACTCCAGGAGTTCCCTATGAATCTTCCACAAGCAGAAGATAAAAATAAATGTTCACAGTACACAGCTTTTCTCCAGAGGTTTTAAGCTTCATGTAGAAAACTGTAAAGAGATGGCCTCCCTCACAGTATATTCATATTTTAAGTAAAATCCCATGTCCCCATCTGATACAAGAAAGTTCAACAACAAAAAGAAGGAAAGACAGAGCGAGGACAAGCTTCTTAGACATGGCCCCTAAATGCTCAAGTGGGGAAATCTGGAGAACACCTGACATCCTGCAGGGACACCCAGGAAAGAACGTGACGTGGCAAATCTCAGTGACTAAGACTCATGTGTAAAGCAAACAGATCTCAGAGAAAAGAATGAAATTTCCTTTCTTCATGTTTCAAAAAGAATTCCAGAGGTCAAAGGAACCAGATGCATGTGGGAATGCGTATAAAAATAATGAGCAGCGCTCATAACAAATACGGGCGGCTACATTCAGCATCTCTCATGTATGTCCATTCTCAGGCCAAGGTCAAGAAATGTCCACTGTGCTTTAAAAGGTCTAGGAATAGAAAAATCAACACCCGAGTCTTTTCTAATTCCGCTCGGCCATTTGTCACGAGACGACTAACAATGTCTGTGGGGTCAGGTTTATTATATTTGAACTGAGCTAGTACCAGGCAGCAGATAAAACTGTTGTCTTAGAATTTCTCCAGGACCTCATGTGGCTGTTTTAGAGATATTTCCTGGCTTATAACCCAGCTGCTATGGCCCTCCAGACCTCTGATACCTGCTTAGAAAGGGACCCCCAGACCTCCACAAATGAAGCTTTGTTAAGTCATCCCCTATTGCTGATCAAACTCACTGCTCCCCTACTCAGAAAACAGAAGGCATAAAGGTGAATACAAACATAAGAAAGTTTACATCTGGTCCTGCAGTCTCTCCATATAGTCTCTAAAGTCCTGGGAGTCCCCCAGCCCCATGTCTTGGCAGACCCACTTGATGTTGTCATCGCTGTCAAACAGGATGGAGTTGGTGTATGGGCCGCCATCTTCGGGGAGGATGGTGGTGTAGGAAGTAAACTTGACTCTCTTCCTCTTCGGGCCCGATGGATTTATAGGTTCATTTTTAATTTCTTTCTCATAGACGTAGTCAGAAGGTCTGAGCAGTTGACTATGGAAAGTCTTCTGGGAACTGCCGTTCAGAAGGAAGTTCCTCTCCTCAAACTGCAGCCCCCTGTCTATCATGGTTGTGCACTCCTCCGATGGGAGTGTAATGTCCACGGGGTTCTCCAAAAGTTCCACTTCATTCCCGAGCCAGACCCAGTCATGGGAATGGGGGATGTTGCCTTGCTCACTCACAGCAAACCTTTTGTGTCTGTATTTCCAAGCAAATGCCACACAGTTGATTAAGAAGACCAAAATGGCCAGACAGAAAACACAGAGCAGGGCATACATGCCAATCTCCAAGTCGGTTAACCCCCTTGAGGTCACTGTAAGGTCACTCGGATTATTGGGTCCTGGTAACTTCCCTTGAGTGGGGAAGCTTGTGAAGGCATCTGGACCACCACTCTTGAGCAACTTCTTATCCTTTCCTTCCATGGGAGACTGTGGGGTTGTGCTTTTGTTGGTACCTTCCTCTTGGCCAACAGAGGCACCATGTTGGAGCCATTCCTGAACTGCTCTCTCCTGGTTTCCTTCACGCTCTATGGAATTACTGAGGTGGTCTTTATATTCCCGATTTATGCCCTCAATATCATTGGTGCCTCCTTGGTGATCGTCAATATTTGGTTCAAATTTTACCTTGACATTTCCTTTACCCACAGCGAGAACACTCTTCCTCTTGGTCTTCTGACAAGGTTCACTAATCATCATTTCTAATTTAATCAAGGGTCCTTGCCCTTCACCCTCTGCCACCACAACTGGCCATTTGGACTGAAGGTTTGCTTGGACAGACACCACCATTTCATCCAATGATGAGACAGTAACCGAAAAATCCTTGGGATCATAAATGTCTAAGGGTGTCACCGAACCATCACTGAACAAAATCCAAGAACTGGCTATTGCTTCCTAAGAAAAATGAAACCAAAGAATTACGTTATAATCAGGTTCCTTCAAATTTGCAAAAGTAAATATGATTTCCTATATAATATTATTTAAATATACAAACTGAGAAAAATAAACTTCTGTGTTTTATCATTTTGAGCACCTCTTGGCATGCCTTGAAATGGCATCAATAATATGCTATTGGCCCACAGATGTGAGGAACAAATAATACACTTTAATGAATGCATTAAATTGTATCTTAATTTATTGCATGCCACACAACAGAATTGGACTTTGACATTTCTAAAAACGTTCCGAAAGATCAGGCAATTTATCCGAATCAATTTCAGGTGCAACTAACCAGGCTAGTCCTCCAGATAATATCACTTTGAACAGTCTTTATTAGGAACCCAGTGCCGATAAAGCAGAACATGCCCAGGCTGGAAGTAGTCGGGGAAGATGCATTAGGAGACCGGCTTGCTTGAAAGGCACATGCCCCTGGTATCTTTATAAATGACTTGTGACAGTTTAAAGATGGAGGAGAGTTTTAGAGTTGGCGACAATTGTAAACAGCAGCGATTTGGCGCCTAGTAGCCATGTTCGTGTAAGTAGCTGAAATGGAATTTCCAAGTATCAAAAGCCACCCACTTTGGCAAAAGTGAAAACACATGACCATTCGGTCGTGGTCTGGAGGCTGTGCCTCACATGGACAAGGCTGCTGTAAAGCGAACGGCGTACAGGCACGAGGTCAGGGTGTAAAAGCACATACAAGGAAGATGTGCCTAAGCCACCGAGCATTCTTCTCAGAGACAGGACAGACGGAATAAGAAGCAGGAAGAAGCCTCAAGAATCGCCAGTCCTAGCTATGAGGCTCTACTGATCTCCTTTGCAGGATGTGAGGGAGAGACAAGCTGTCTCAACTGAGCAGGGACAAAAGGACTCCGGAATCTCACCTGCCGTGGGGCTTGGAGAACGTCCTGGGCGGCCGCCATTGAGACGATGGCTCTTTTGTCCACTCTGTGAGGCTGCAGGGAAAGGGACAAGCCAGCCACCAGCTGCACGCCCAGGTCCACGATGGTGACACGGTCATCCAGGACGATCACGGTCTTCTCAGCCAGGATGGAGTCAGAGAGAGGCGAGAGGACCTTCCAGGGAAGCAAGAAAGCTCAAGTTTCTGCTCGACACATCATTTAAAACTCCTTAATTGCTGTTTCCACCTAAGTGTTCTCTCAGTTCTCGGCTAAATGAATGACTCAGGGGAACTCTGTGGACAAGTGCTATGCTATTGTTCGATTATACTTGCCAATGGAAGGAGGAGTTCTATAAACATCATCTTGCTCCATTTTCTTTCCTCTGATTCATACCATAACAGCAGTGTGTTTTCCAAGAAGAGCTTGATTTAATTTCAATAACTAAAAATTGCCACCTTGGTACTAGGCACTCCAAGAGCAACATTTTCCCAACAACTAACATTAAGGTGTGAAACTGGCACAACTGCAGCAAACCTCTGTAAGAGAACGTCTTCTCCCACTCACATTCCTTCTAGTGTAGGGTTAGCTGCTCACTACGAGACAACAGCGATTGTCGTGTGGGCCCCTGTGTCATCATTGGACAAATCAGTCAAGCAAAATGGGAAAAGGAATCTTAACGTCCTAAGAAGCCATTCCTCCTAAGTCACCATCTAGTTTGCAACTGGAACTGACTAACAAATGGAGAAGAATATCCAGTAGGCAGAATTTCTAGAACTGTCCCCCCAAAGATGTCCTGCCTCATCTCTCAAACCTGTGACTGTGATGAGAAATAACCCTCATGATCATGTTATGTTATATGGCTCAGTTGGCCTTAAAATAGGGAGAGTAGCCTCGATTCTCCAGGTGGGTCCAATGTAATCACATAAGCCCTTAAAAGTAGAATGCTTCCCCTGGTGGGTGGAAGAAGGGGAAGTCAGAGAGACTCGGGGCGTGAGGAGAGCTCGATCCAGCCATTACTGATGGCGGAGGGGCCCCGTGAGAAGTGGTGCAGGTGGCTCTAGGAGCAGGGGGTGACCCCTGACTGACAGTCAACAAGGAACAGACACCTTAGTCCTACACTATGAGGAATTGCATTTCGCCCACAACCTGAGCCGGGAAGCAAATCCTTCCCTGGAGCCCCCACAAGCCCCGCCCGGCCACCACCTTGACTTCAGCCTTGTGACACCCTGCGCTCAGCCAAGCTCACCCAGACTCCTGACCCTCGGAACTCTGAGTTAATAAATTAGTGGCGTTTTAAGCTGCTAAATTTGTGGTAATTTGTTACGCAGCAGTAGAAATGTAATACAAAATATAACGTTTAATACAGTTTTGTCAAAAATTAACTTTGGCAACATCCAAAATATGACAATTAACTATGGGCAGTAATATTGAAATTTTTTATAAGAAAATATGTTGCACCATTTCTGCATGATTATCCTGTCAAAATTGGCTAGAAAACAGTTTTACTATTACTATAATAAAATAGAGGGCATATAACTGTGCAAATACCTGTTTTTTAAAAATTTTTTGTCCACTATTCAAGATATAACAGTATATTAAATTATAGCTAAATGGTTAACCCTCAAGGTTAGGAAAATAAAACTAGCTTTCACAGCTTCTATCATCTTCTATTAGTTACATATGAAAAGTAAATTATATTGAGGGAAAGATTGCTTCCACTGTGGGTTTAATTTAGCTTTGACCAGTAAAAGAAATTAGATATTTTTTCTCCACTTTCTCTAAAATGCAAAAATTAGTTGGAGTTTAGATTATTACAGTTGATGAAGACTCTATTGCTGCTCATGATTCTCTTACACACACACAGACTCACATACGTGCACATCAACACACTGATATGCACGTGTGTGTGCACACACCTGCACACACACACCCCTGCACAACAGTATCTCCTGGACGCTCACCAGAACAGACAGGGGTGTGGGGAGGGGGCAAGGAGTGGCTGGCCGTACCTGCACAGTGGTGATTCCCGGCTCCCGACCCACCAGGGTCCTGCCATCCTGTAACTGGGCAATTTTCGCCTCCTCTACCTTCATGAAATCCGTCACCAGGTCAGTGATGTCAAACTGCCAGTCGGGGCCCAGCATGTAGCTCAGCTGAGCTAGGTCGGCCGACTCCGCCACAAACTGGGTGAGGACGCGCACCGTGGCGTGCTGGTACTGCAGGGAGCACCCCCTCCCCTTCCTCTCCTCGTCCTCCTCGTCCTCACTCTCCCGGGTGGGCCTGGGAATCAAACAAACCAGAATAAATGTCATTGTGGTGGTTAAGAAATTTCCCGTACCTCCTTTTCCAGATTCCACGTGACTGTACAGAGCGATGTAAACTGGTTTTTCTCCCAAGAGATCTGCTCACCATCGGCTCATTCACTCCAGGGGCACTGTTTGGTGATCACTCTGTGCCATGTGTGCTGCCACGTGCTTGGAACACGGAGGCCAAGCCCCGCCCCTGCCTCACCCGCCCACCGTGGGAGACTCAGCCCCAAACAGGCAGAGGCTCAGCTCTGACCTCCGTGTTCTGGAAACCGCAATTTCAAACGATCCCCGTGCAGGGACGATGCAGAAGCTTCGTCTAGTGGAGGGAACGTGAGGTCCTGGGATGAAGAGCTGTGTGGCGCCTGTTTCCACTCCTCTCTGTTGGCCTTGATCGAGGTGCTCACCCCCACTCGGGCCCAGTCACCTCACCTTGGATGTGGAAATAAGAACCCTGTCCCTCACCTCCTCCAGGTGTGTGAGGAGCAACTAAGTCAGAAGACACGGGGATGGTGCTTTAGGATCTGCCAAGACGGATCACGAACCATCGCCTGGGGACTGCCGCGACACCCAGCCTCCGCTGGCGGAGGCCCTTTCATCCCTACAGAAGCGGCCTCCTCTGAGCTCACGGCCCTGAAGGCCCTCAGAGTCCACCCCAAACCACCTGCCCGCTCAACCCGCAGAGCCGCTGCGGAATTCTCCCAGAATCACTGAGACACGTCTGGACGTGTGCGCCCTCCTCTCTGTCACCTGTCCTGGCCTCCCCTCCTCCCTCGGCGCACCCGCCCCTCCTCCCTGTCACCTGTCCCGGCCTCCCCTCCTCCCTCGGCGCACCCACGCCTCCTCCCGTCCCGGCACAGCCTCTCCTCTCACCTCCGCCCACAATCCGCCCTGAGAAATCCTCTCTGGCTCTGCTATTCCAGAATCTTCCCCTCAAGATGAACCTGTCCTGTGTCCTTTCATGAGGGGATCTTATTTGGCGGCTGCTGGCTTGTCTGTGACAGTCAGGGTATTTGTGTCAGGGGAGAGAGGAGAGAGACTCATATGCACTGAGTTAGACCCACTACGTGCCAGGACCTGCTCTACGTGTTCTGTGCAACGATGAGAGCTGACATAGGTCACCACCTCCACATGCCAGCCACATCACTGACTCCCGGACTCTCCACAGAACCCCAAGTAGGGAGGGGTTTATTATCCTGATCTTAGTGCTGAGGAAGCCAAGTCTAGAGAGGAGAGGGAACTTGGCCACGGCCACGCAGCTGGTCATCCAGAAGCGTGTCCCCCTGTTTGTGGCCACTCCTTTTTTTAGAGCTAATTCCATTCATCTTTACAGAAGCCATGAAACATGTTCCTATTTTTATGAAGAAACCACGGCTCAGTGGTCGATATGTGGCCTGGACAGCTGGCAATTAGCAGATCTGGACTGAGCTCCATCTGACGTATGAAATGCACTTCCTTTAAAATTTGTCCTTCTGCCTCCCTGAAAGGTCTGAGAACCGTGTAGAAAGTTATAGGAAATATTTTCACCAGCACCACAACATGGCGATTTGGGTTCTCAAAGTGAGGAGTGAAGATCCTTGCTGGTAAGTGAGATGATTTTAGCTGGAAAGGGACAGAGCATTAGAAACATGGAATGAAACACTGAAACGTTAGGCCCGTTCATTTTTCAGTCCTCTAATTACATCACAGGGAGCATCTCTGTTCCCCGCTAGGCTGTCCCTGCCGCTTCTCTGACACTCGCTAGTCTCTACCAGTTAATACAGACAAATCCAGACAAACAACAGTATCGACTCCGAATTTAATAACAACGTCTTATTTTCTTTGTGTTAATTTTTTCTAGTTGGCCATTTTTGATAGTGACGTGAAGTTTCCCTCAAATAAATGGATAAAACTGAAAAAAGAACACTATTAAGTATATTCAAAAGTGGCAGTGTCATAAAAGTGGTGAGTGAATGAATGAAGTTTTAGAAACACCCTATTAGTGAACAATTCCATTATTTTAGGGCAGATTGTGTTCCATTGTTTTTTTTAAAAACTTTAAATTTTGAAGTAATTAGAAATTCACTGAAAGTTAAATAATTTGTACAGGGAGGTCCCACACACTGTTTACCCTCCCCCCACCAGAGTTAACATCTTGCCTAACCACAGTGCAATATCAAGACTAGGAAACAAACTTGGTACAAGCCACAGAGCTTATTCAGATTTCCACAGTTTAACGTGTGTGTGTGTGTGTGTGTGTGTGTGTGTAGTTGTATGCAATTTTATCACGTGTGGATTCAGGGAACCATCCCCATAATCGAGATAGAGAACAGAACCCTCTCCACGGGGTGCCCCGTGCTGCTCCTTTATACCTCCACACCACCCCTGACCCAGGGCAACCACACACCTGTTGTCCATTTTCTCTATCATTGTAAATGGGATCACATATGTAACCTTTCAAAGTGTTGGTAAGGATGTGGGTAACTGGATGATTTATACACGGCTGGTTTGAATGTAAAATGGTCCAGCCTCTCTGGAAAACAGTTTGGCAATTTCTTTTAAAGCAAAATATGCCCTTACCATACGACCCAACAATTGCAGTCTTGGGCATTTTCCCCAGAGAAACGAAAATTTATGTTCACATGAAAACTTGCACACGAGTGTCATAGCAGCTCTATGTGGAGTGGCCCCCAAACTGGCAGAAGTGTCCTTCAGTGGATGATTGACTAAGCAAACTGTGATAACATGGGCCACGAGATGCCGTCGGCAGTACAAATAAATGAACTATCAACACGCACATGTGCAACGACTTGGGTGGATCTCAAGGGCATTATGCCAAATAAAAACATGTCAATTTTATAAGGTTACATACTGTACGGTACCATTTACCAGCTAGGGCAAACTCTCTGCTTTCAAAGGGCTCAACTGATAGGTCAGGCCCACCTGGAGAATTCCCACAGCTTAAGGTTGACAGATTTAGAATTTTAATTACATCTGTGAAATCCCTTCACAGCAGGACCAGATTAGTGTTTGATTGAATAAGGAGGAGATGGGAATCCTGCGGGGGGGGGTGGTCATCTTTAGAATTCTGTCTATTCAGTGTGTATCATTTCATTGAATTCTTGGGACAACTCTATCCAGTAATATCATCACCTCCAAATTATAGATGAAGAAACTGAGGAATAGAGAGGTTAAGTAACTTGTCCAAGGTCACACAGCTACAGGTGGGAAAGCCAGGGTGGCAACTCAGGCAGCCTTATTCCAGAGTCCACAACCTAACCATGGCACTGCGCCCTCTGGATGACGGTTGACATTGACAAGCAGGGAACTGAGAATGAATAACGTGTGAATAAACAATAGGGAAACAGGGAATAAAAAAATAACTGCACTCTAAAAGCCAGGCCCTGTGCTAGGAGCTTCTTTTTTTTTTTTTTTTGTGAGGAAGATCAGCCCTGAGCTAACATTCGTGCTAATCCGCCTCTTTTTGCTAAGGAAGACCAGCTCTGAGCTAACATCTATTGCCAATCCTCCTCCTTTTTTTTTTTTTTCCCCAAAGCCCCAGTAGATAGTTATATGTCATAGTTGCACATCCTTCTAGTTGCTGTATGTAGGACGCAGCCTCAGCATGGCCAGAGAAGCGGTGCGTCGGTGTGCACCCGGGATCCGAACCCGGGCCGCCAGCAGCAGAGTGCACGCACTTAACTGCTAAGCCACGGGACCGGCCCTAGGAGCTTCTTATGCATTGCATCACTTTACTGAATCCTGGCAACTACTCTGTGAGGTAGAGACTATCATCACCCCCATTATAACCCCCTCATGTCAAAGGGCTAGGAAGTACCCAAGTCAGATTCATCCGAACCCCAATCCCAGACCATTGTCACCTACTGTGGATGCTTCCCTGGGGCCCAGGCCCCTGAGGGCCGTTTAGCCCCACAACAGTCTGGGCCCCAGGAGACTCAGATCCACAGCTGTCTCTGAGAATCCTCCCTCCCTCGGTTCCTCACCTTCTGTTGGAGGCCACCGGGATTCTCCACCCTTTGATCTGGCTAAGCTCCGTGTCCGAGATCTCAATCTGCAGGGGGAGGCGGGGCGCCCAGACGGTGACCTCTACCTGGGAGGTGAAGTGCTGGTGGGTGAAGTTCACGACCGTGTCCACTCTGCCCTTCATTTCCTTCCCGTTCACAAAAATGGCATCGCAGTTGTTGGAAACCTTTGGGGAGGAGTTAGAATCTTGAGATGCATCAGCAGGAAAAGCACAAGCCAAGGCTGACAGTGAATGTTCGTGAACTTCAACAGCTCTGACGGATGAGACACCAGGACAGCCCGAGAACAGGACTTGAACAAAAGGTAAGTTGTAGGCACTAATTAGTGACAAATACTGATAAATAGACTCCAGGAAAACCTTGTATTATGAAGTACTGACAAGCAAAACCATAAACATAATTTAATGAGTGGCATAACCGGTATTGCCTTTTGTGTTTTTTGTTTACCTTACCTTTTTCACACACTCTAACCACCACTAACCACACCCCAGGTGTGACATATTTCACTCATGCTCCATATTGGAAGACGCATAAAAGGTGGCCGTATGTTACTAAGAAAACACTTTATTCAAGCCATAAAGATCTTTTCTGAAAAACCCAGAGAGCTTTGCACTAGATTAAAATCCTTGTATAAAGTGCTCACAAAATGCACTAGAAACGTGGATATCATTATTTTTGTCCCATTAAACTGTAATTTTGCAGAGTGGAAGTGAGCATTTTGTTACGGCCTTTTGACTCAGCACTTGGGGGTACCCTCTCAATGTGCCTGCACTAGCATACTAGGTATTAGACAATTGAAGCCCCCATTTCACTTCACATCTTCTGGATAAGCAAGTAAAAGGTTGAGGACTTTCTCTCCTGGACCATCAGGAAAATGTCATTTCTGTATGTAGGTAGGGAGGGGAGGAGGGAGCGAAGGTCACTTCATGTGCCGAGGACACGGAACCAGCAATCAGTTCACCACAGAATCACGAAACCGCAAAAGGTCCACAGTCTCATCTTCCAGATGAAGAACCTGTGCCCAGTGATGCCATGTAACTGATCAAGGTCACACACTGCTTTTGGGGTGCCGCATAGGGCAGGGCTGCTGGCAGGGCTCCCCAACTTAGCCCTGAGAGCCACAGCCACCAGGCAGCCTGTTTTACAAGCCACAGACAGGGACTTCTTCTTGACCTTCTCTTCCTCACCTGAGTTGGTACCTGCAGCCCAGGCCGCCCTCCTGAACCCCAGACACACATGCTCCTCCACCCCCTGGACATCGAGTGGTGAGCGGTTCGAGAGCAACAGCAGAAGTGCCGGCTTCCAAACTCTAAGAGCAAATCTCCAGGTTGTTTGAGACAAATATCATCCCCCCCCCCGAATAAAAAGGCACAAATATGAATTTGTTCCCATGAGGAGAAAGAAGAGATGAGCCTCGTTCACTGTAGAATGAAATCACAGACTAAGAGGAAAATAACTAACGAGATGCTTAAACCTGTCCCTGCGCCCCAGTCACAGACACGGCTCCTCGTCATTTCCACTGCACAATGTCGCAGATGACTTTAGGAACCTTTAAGTAGAATTACCCAAGGCCACTAACGGGAAGACGGGCTGAAATCACAGTGACACAGACCACACAGCAGTGAACAGGGTGCTGGAGCGTGACTCAGGCAGGCTGAGGTCATTCTGGAGCCCCATTCCCATCCGGTCTGAACTCAGCAGTCCAAAGTCCTCTGCCCTCCAGGGAGAAGGGAGAAGAAAAACGATGAACTGAGCAAATCAGCTAGCTTTTAGGGCATGTTTGAAGGACATAAATCAGCATTATTGAGCCCAGGCTTGTAAAGAGAGCAATCAGGACAAGACTCTCAATTAGAGCAGGAGGACTCTCAAATAGAATGGAGGACCATGTGCTTATCTTAAAATCCTGTGATGCTGACACATGCTGAGCCGACTGCCCTTCCCTCAGGTTCTTAGAAAGGTCTGGAAGCCCCATTATAGAGCAACCCCTGCCTTCCCACCAGAGCACTGCACTGGAGGACATTCAATCAGACTCCTAACCACCCTGGACTCAGTGGCAACATGCAGACCTACCTGAAGAGAACAGGTTCCTTACCGACAAGAACCCTGCAATGGATGCGTGAGGGAGTTCTGCCCTCAACCTCTCCCCCGCTCAGATGGTTGTCACCTATTGCTAGAACTTTCCCAATTCCACCTCCTACAGTACAGACCTCAACTCTTCTGCACTTGTGGAAAATTCTGGTTCTTCCTTGTCTACTTCTACCCGCCCACCCCCAATCCCACTTCAAATCACCTTGAATCACATCCCACCGCCAGGAACAAACCAGCTTTGGAAACCATGAGGACCTTTCTGTGCATAAGAAATGAAATCATAAGACAGTGGCACTCTGCACACTTTCAGAGCATATGCAGACTTAAAGCTTCCCCATCTTTCTGGAAATGAGGGGTAGCTTAAACGGAAAAAGTTAAATGAGGAAGATAACAAAGTGAAAGGCCTTAGCAATTCTGTATGTTGACTATCATTAGAGTTCTTTCTCCTGAGATATGCACACCCTTAAAAAAAAGTATATGTCCCCTATCCTTAATTAATTCAATTAAAATATCTCAATAAGGTTAATCGTGTTGAATGCTAAGATCTAGGTGCACAACAATGTATCAGGGATATATTGGATGCTACTGACTGAGTGCTTGTGTCCCCCCAAAATTCGTATGTTGAAACCCTAATCCCCAATGTGATGGTATGAGGAGGTGGAGCCCGTGGGAGGTAATGAGGTCGTGCAGGTGGAGCCTCATGATGGGATTAGGGCTCTTATAAGAAGAGTGACAAGAGAGCTGGCTTCCTCTCTGCTCTCCTCCATGTGAGGACACAACCAGCAGACAGCTGGCTGTAAACCAGGAAGAGGGCTTTCACCAGACACCCACATCCTGATCTCGGACTTCACAGCCTCCAGAACAGGAGAAATCAACATTAGTTGTTTGCAGATTCCTCATTATTTGTAGATTCGGTATTTGCACATTGCCTACTTGCTAAAATTCTTGGGACACTTTCACCGTAACTCCTGGCAATGCAGAGCAGTGAAAACTTTGTCACCTGCCCCACGTGCACTTTCCAAGCTGAGGTCGAACAAGACAACTCTGCCCTCTTATCTGAGCTCTCATCCAGAGACGACCATGATGGAGATGGGCGGACAGGGCAGTGCAGCTCTGGCTCCGGGGCCAGCTGGACGGGGTCTGAATCCCTCCTCCAGCGCCTGCTAGTGGGGAGGCCTCAGGAAAGTCACTTCACACTTCTCAGCCTCGTTTTCTGCTTTGTAAAGTAAAGAGAATATCTAAGATTATAATCTATGCTAGAGGTGTGTGTGTGTATATATTTCCCCTAGAAGCAATGGTTCAGGATTTGCTAATTCCACGGTCACAGCGACTTTATAACTACTGCCAATGATGAAAACCACTCACAGTAGATATCTCATATTGAATAGGACCTCACTGCCTGCAACGCTCTTCTCCCTCCATGCATTGGGCCCCACAGTAACTCTGTGAGGCGGGCGTCACAATCCTCAGTTTACCTGCACTGAATCCAGCGCAGAGAAGGGACCGCCACCTGCCCAGGGCTTTAGGTGAATGTGTGCTGACTCCTGGCCCGGTGCTCTTTCCTCTGCCTGCTCCTCTCCAGGACCCTCCCGTGGTACGCCAGATAAAATCCAAACCCTGAGTATCCCTTACAAGGCCTGATGACCTGGTCCTGCCTCCTACTCCAGCCTTGCCTTGCACACCCCTCCCCACCCCCTGCAAGGCTCCCTCCTCGTGGGTCTTCCCTCTCTCCTTTGAGCTCTCCTGGGCTTATCCTCATCTGAAAGCCTTTCCTTGATCTTCTCATGATGGAGATCTGCTTGTCATTCAGGTCTGAGGAGACATAGCTGGCTGCCTACTGCCCATCCAACCACACACCAGCTCCTCTGCCCCAACACACGCATACACCTTCCTCTTTTCCAATATTACTAAGGTTTTATTCAGAAAACTCACTGCCCTCCATCCACCATGGGCCTGGCCAAGCCAGTCATTCTAACCCCATTCTCCTTGCCAGTGATTGGCTTAGGGAAGGGTGTGTGACAAAATTCTGGCCAATAAGGTGTAAGAAGTCTGCTGGGAATTCTGGGAAGGGTCTCCTTGCTCTGAGATGCATAGGAAGCTGTGCCTCCTTCTCCCACTGGATGGTGTCACACCAGAGATGACAATAGGGACTATTACAGTGGTCTCAGAGCCTGGAGGGAGCCAGCCAAGGACCAAGCTGACACTGCAAGCTTGGAAGGACAGAAAGACGGAAGGAACCAGGTCCTCTGTGACCTAGATGGACCACTGGACCAGCCCACCTGGGACCAACCGACTTTGTGAATTCCTATCAGGTGACTTTCTTTGATGTTGTTAAAGCCATTTTGGCCCATGGTTTTCTGTTCCTTGCCACCAAAAGCAGCATAAATCATATAGGACCTCGGCTCAAATGTCATTCCACAGAAGGCATTCCTTGAGTCGTTTCTAATTTAAACTTGGCACCCCCGCACCTGGTCACTCTCCCTCTGTTACACGATTTCCCTCTGATATACCGTGTGTGCTACTATGCAGACTATACTTACAATATTTCTATATTATTTACAGCATATTACACTATTCATACTGCTTCTGTCATATGGCTTACACTATATGAGTTACACTAGATTGCTCTATGTTATGCTATATAATTTACCTTTCAATACTTATCACTCCCTAAATGCTCCTGGTGTTTACTTGTTTATCTCTGTCCTACACCTGAAGGTGATCTGCTTGAGAACATGGACCTGCCTCCTCTTGACCGCTGTCTCCACTTCTCGCACAGCACATGGCACGTAGAAGGTGTTCAATAAAGAGATGTTCCATGGGAATTTGTCACCACAGTTCTCTCTGGGTCCCATTCATTCCTGGGCCCAATGAGTAGCATGTGTCTGGGTAAGACGGGGGAGGAGGTGACATAGAAAAGGTTATCATGGGGGCCGGCCCCGTGGCTAAGCGGTTAGGTACGCGCGCTCCGCTACTGGCAGCCCGGGTTGGATCCCAGGCACGCACCGACGTACCACTTGTCTGGCCATGCTGAGGCGGCGTCCCACATAGAGCAACTAGAAGGATGTGCAACTATGACATACAACTATCTACTGGGGATTTGGGGAGAAAAAGGGGAAAAAAAAAAGGAGGAGGATTGGCAATAGATGTTAGCTCAGGGCCAGTCTTCCTCAGCAAAAAGAGGAGGATTGGCATGGATGTTAGCTCAGAGCTGATCTTCCTCACAAAAAGAAAAAGAAAGAAAGAAAAAGTTATCATGTTAATGGCATTCAGGAAAAATTTCATTTAATACATCACGAGGGGAGACAGACCAGTAGAAGAAACACAGACCAAATGCTAAGAAGGTTGAGGTCAAAAAGCCAATAAGTTTGGATTCCCAGCAGTGAATCTGGCCTTTTGGCTCGGAACTGAGATCTCTGTGTCAGGTGACACAGCGAGTGGATGTGTATTGGGAGGAGACAGGAAGACACTGCAAAGTAAAGATCAGAGTCGGATTCCCACCACTTGTGTAAATGATACCCTCATGGCTCTCTGAGCCCCAAAAGGAACATGGGAAACCAAATGCTGTGAATCCTAACATAAGAAGAGCCAAGGACGGGAACATACAGGTTAGAAACAGACGGTTTGCGCCATGTTCCTCAGTGAGCACGTGTGAGGTGGCTCGTCAATGTCATCTTGGGAAAGTTGCCCTTAGGGGTCGATATTTTTACTGTCAAATTACACTTCTGCAGCTCCATTACTTTAGAGTAACAGAGGCGAATAGAGGCTCTCCAGATGTAAAGGTGTTTCCTTTGGGGATCCTGTGAGATATACTGTATCATTTGCTTCGTTTTCTATTTAGAAAAGAAGCAAGAATTTAGTCTGTGTCAGCCACCCTGTGAGTTTGCTGCGCTGTTGATCCATCCGTATGCACCGATAGAAAGCTGACCGTGCATTACAAGGCCTCCCTCACGACCCCTCCTTCACCCGGAGAAATGTGTTAGAAAGAAAAAAGGCTGCACAATCAGATAGTATTTTTCTCACGAATTCACAAAAAATGCTGAAATTCCCTGCTAAACTAGGCAACAAGAAACTAAGTAAAGAAAAATCCTTTGATATTCAATTGTCATCTGAATTAAGCAGTTCGTATTTATTACCAAGTTTAGCAAAGTGCACTGTGTCTGAGGAGAAGTTGGTACTCAAAACTCCCTATTTTACCTTGAGTTTTCACACTTCCGAGAAAGACAAAAAGGAATAATAATAGTGATCATGTATTGAGTGCTTACTGTGTACCATGCATTGTTTTTAAAACTTTACATAGAATTATACCCATTAAATCCTCCCAGTACTCTGCACGTTAGGTGTTTTGTCCCTCTATCATGGATGGGGAAACTGAGGCCTGGAAGAGGCTGCTCATCCAAGAATCACAGCTGGTGAAGGGCCGAGCAGGATTCGCATTCAGGTCCTCCGAATCCGAGGGCTCCTTGGCACCAGGCATTACCACCTCAGAGCAGCCCACATAGGAGACAACATGGTCCTGCCCGCAGAGGGCCTGATTGGGAAAGGTGAGACATAAATACACACACTGGGATTTTTATCCACCTTATTGAGGTATAATTTATGTTCAACACACCACATGCGTTTGAAGGGTACAAACTTGAAGGGTTTGACGGTGCATACTCCCGTGACACCACTGTCACACTGACACAGGACATTCCCATCTTCCCAAAAGATCCTTGCGCCTCTTTTCGGTCCATTGTTCCCTCTGCCCCTCACCCAGGCAACCACTGATGTGCTGTCTGCCGTTACACACTGGGCACAGGTTAGTTAGAGACTAGTCTGATAGTTAGTCCTCAAGTCCAGGGAGAGGGACCCAGGAGTACCAGCTTGGGGCCATGGACTGGGATCCAGAGACCCGGGTCTTCCTCCAAACTCTTCTCTTCATCACATCTGAATAAGTCACTCCCTAGTCTCTGGGGCTCAGATTCCGCATCTGTGAACCCGAGGGTACCTAAGCTTTCCAGATCTGACATTCACCCATTCTCTCATTTACAGGATTTAGAGGCCAAGTTCAGGGTCCCAGTGTATTTTGACATAACATAACTTCTCTCTGCCTCAGATCCCTCATCCCCAAATAAGTGTAAATTGTTCTTCACTTAACAAGTATTTATTTAATATCAACTAAGACCCAGGAACTGTCCTAGGTGCTGGGGATAGAGCGATGAACAACATAGCCCTGCTCTTATGGAACTGACAGTCTTGGGGGGGAGACAGACAAACTAAAGAAACATGTAGATATATAACATAATATCAGGTAGTGAAATGGGTTTGAAAGGAAAATAGAGCAAGGTACAAGAACGGACGGTGAAGAGAGAGGATTTTAGTTAGAATGGGCTAGGGAGGCCTTTCCAGAGAGATAACACATGAGTCGAGACCTGAATGAAGTGAAGAAATGAGTGATGAGGACACGCAGACGATTCCTGAAAGCAGAGGAAAGAGGACATGCAAAGGCTCTGAGACAGGAATGTTGCTGCCATATTCAAGGACCAGAGAGAGGACATTGGCCAAAAGTAGCCAGGGGGTTGGATTTTACTCCACTGGGTAAGTCTGATGAGATCCTGGGGGGACTCTGGAGCAAGGAACTGACATGATGGGACAATATGACAGGATACCTCTGGCAGGAACAGAAGAAGGGGAGATCATTTAGGAGCCTGCTGAGCCCATCCAGTGGAGACATAAAAGTGGTTCACACCAGGGTGGTAGTGATGGAGATAATGGGGAGTGGCCAGCTTCAGGATGGATTCTGAAGGTAGCCTGGACCGGATTTGCCATTGGAATGGCTGCTGGATGTGAGAGAGAGGGAGAAGCCACAGATGACTTCCGGGTTTTGGGCCTGAGCAACCAGAAGAATGGCATTGTCATCCCTGAGATAAGGGAAGTCTGCAGGAGAGGCAGACTTGGGGAAGAATGAAAGAATCAAGAATTCAGTTTTGCGAATATTAGATTTGAAATGCTTATTAGGCATCTGAGTGAAGAAGTGAAGTAAGAAGGTGAAAACACAAGTCTAGGGTTCATAGAAGAGGTTCAAGCAGAAGGAATAAGTTTGGATTATACCAGCATATGCAGTATTTAAGGCCATGAGGTTGAATAATCCCCCACCTTTAAGCCCGGAGCATGCCAACACTTAGAGGCCACTCACGAAAGGACCCAGTAAAGGAGATCGCAAACACGGCAACCAGTTTGTTAAAAAGGAAAGCCACAAGAGAATGGTGTCTCAGAAGGTAAGTCATGAAGGTACTTCAGGAAGAGGGTGTGATTGATTATCAGTGCTGCTGGGAAGTCAAGTGAGGTGCAGACCAAAAGCTGACTGCTGGAGTGGGCCACGCGCAAGACCCTGGGACCCGACAGAGGGGCTTCAGTGCAGCAGAAGAGGCAAACATCTGATGGGAGCGGGTTCAAGAGAGAACGGGATGCGTGGGGGGTAACACAGAAAGCTGTTTCAAGGAGGTTTGCCCTGAAGGGGAACAGAGAAATGAGACAATGGGTGCTGTCAGAAGCGTTAAATAAGATGAGCCACAAAAATCACTAGCAGAATGCCTGACACATGGGAAACGCTCAAAAATAACACCTTTTATAATAATAACATCCCTGACAATAATGATAAATGTAAATAAATACAGCTGCCACAGAACTTCGCAAGATCTATCTTGAGTTGGCTGTGTGTTGGTATAGCGGTCAGACAGCAAGTGTTCTGTGAGTGCCGACCATCTGTCCAGCTCTTCTCCGCTAAGCAAACACAAGTTTTCCCAGAGTTTTCGGCTTGAAGTGAACAACCCATTAGCCCCACAGTAATGCCAAACTCATCAAATATCTACTATGAATTTGGATACTGAGGTCAGAGAGGAAATTAGTTGCCTTTCCACCTGGAGCTTAAGGCTAAAAACAATCAAATAAAATCAACAATACTGTCTTCCACCACCCCTGACCAAATGCCCGTCATGTAATAAGAAGGCGAGATAGCAAAGAAAACAGGGCCTTGTCAACAGAGGATTTTCATTCTAGTTACCAAAATAGGAAACAG